GTGCGGTTATTACGTGCAAATACCATACCATGCAAAGTAGACTGCAATTCCATTACTGGTTACTAAATGAATACAATATGGACATTAAAACTTTAGATGAGCCAGCCATGGCATGCAGCTATGGCATGTTAAAATTATGGCAAGCAAAATGAGCAGTAGTTTGGATTGTTCCTTAGCTCCACCTAAAACTTCCACCAGCCCAGACTAGTTAAATACACCCCTTAGAGTTCCCTCTATCTAGCTGTGTATCTTTAAAAAAAGGGGAAATAAAAAGAAAAATGTTACTTAATCCTTAGCAGAGGATTAGCTGCTTAACCAGCTCTTGCAGACTCAGAGAAAGATCTTTTCTTATATCGAAGGTGTTCTGTATAGGGAAATCCAGATAGAAAGCTGGTTCTGAGAGAAAGTTGAGGAAATTTCAAAAATATAAAGTAGTGAAACCAGAGCTTCACCAGAGAAAAAACAATGAAGGGGGGGGAGTTAAATGAGGAAAACTTAAAAATTAGAGGGAGTTGTTTCTGTACCACATTGCCCATCTGTGGTATACAAATGTTTTACCCTTGGGGCCCCCTTTGACATCTACGGTACATGCGAATGTTGTGCCTCCCCCCACTTGACGTAGTATATGACTAAAATATTTTGTTTATTTAGTGTATGTATTTTTTTTTTTGGCCCATTCATGTATATTCATATTTTAACATTTTGTAAGGAAATAACAGAACAGTTTTCTTTAAGTAAATTCAATATTTTGAATTCAAGTTTTGGGGGAGGAGGAGGAGGAGGGATCAGAGCCTCTAAGAATAATAGCTGTCCTTAGGGAGATAACTTTTCATTTTGTTTTTATATCACTGATTCCTGTCTTATTGTTTTATCATTTATTGTTTTGCGGTATTTTAATTTTTCTTAGTTCAGTTCTGTTTTAAGGGGATGGGAGGGTTGGACTGTGGGATGAGGGAATGTTTTAACTTTGTCTGTTTTAAATGTTGTAACCTGCCCCGATTGCCGTGCAGAGGGGCGGGCTATAAATAAAAATTTATTATTATTATTATTATTATTATTATTATTATTAAAGAGTGGTTCTCTTGAGGTTGTAAAAGCATCATTTTTGCCAAACAGATTATTTCAGCATGGCAAATGGAACACTTTGACAACACTTTTACGCCCTCTCTCATGGTTTTACAACTGGAAGAGAACGTAGGAGAGAACAACGTCATGCGGAAGGAGAAAAAAACAACACACATGTCTTTCTGTTTGCTTCCCGGGTTTGTTTAATAATGCAATAAGGCACCCTTGAGCAACTCTCGTGCCCCCCTTGGGGTCCCACCTCACTGTTTGAGGACCACTGGAATAGTCCAAGCAATGGGCTCAGAATGAGGAGGTTGCTTTTAGCCTCAAAACTAGAGAAGATGCAGATACACAAACCATTATTTCAAAAGGAGAAACAGTTCACGGCACAATCTACTCACTAAAAAGCTAGAAGTGAACAAAAGGGGAAAATTCAAAGATGAAGAGAAGATAGCTTCTTTTCCACAGTACATCGGCATTGTGTTCTAAATTTTCTTGCTGTTCCCATTTTTTCTTTTTCTGTTGGTCTCATTGCCCTCTTACCTGCTAACAAACTGGAAATTTGGTTCTGGATTAGTATACAACATGTTTCGGAGGGCAAACTGGGCAGACAATTTTACATTGTTTTCAGGTCTTGATGTAACTCGAGGACCTATCTGTGTAGAAGGAACAACGCAGACTTATAAAGTAACAATTGTCATGGAGCAACAGACTTTGTATCTTCCCATACTGGTTCATTGTTCCATGTCTTGAACAAGCTTTATAGGCATAACTGTGTTTTGCTGCATCTCATTCTCCAGGCGACTGGAATTTTCTGCTCTTCACAGAAACAAGACCTCTTTGTGAGCCAAAGTTTGGCTCTTCTTCCATTTCATAGCTTCCCAGGTTAGGGCTTTGCTCCTCTTGAGACATTAATGCCAAAAAATAGGATCGGTGTAATGCAGAGCTCCTTTACTTCTCCCTGAAGTCTGAGCAGCACCTCTTCAGACCTCAGGTAATCATGCATGACTCTGATGCTCCTGAAGACTCCTGAAGACATCATAGGATTTCTCTTCTTTCATTGCCCTCCTTCCCTCAGCTCAGCCTTAAGTGATTTCAGATTCTTGTTCCTGCTCTTACTTTATAGGCCTTTCCAGCCATTTCATCAGTTTTTTATCTTTTGTCCTCAGTTAGTTCCAACCCCTCCTCTGGTCCCTGCCTTTTTGTTTCTCACACAGATCCTCTGACAGTTCAATAGCCAGTCACATTCAAAAGTATCTAACATTTCAACATTTCACCTGGCTAACCATTCTGCACCATTCATCTTCCCTGGAACGTTCTTAAACCCACCAACTGTTGTCATTTCTGACTTATGGTGTCCCTAAGGTGACCCTGTCACTGGGTTTTCTTGGCAAGATTTCTTCAGAGGGGGATTGCTTTTGCCTTCCTCTGAGGCTGAGAGTGTGTGACTTGTTCAAGGTCACCCAGTGGGTTTCCATGGGTGAACAGGGATTCAAACCATGGTCTCTAGAGTCATTGCTCAATTCTCAAACACTACACCACTTTGGTTCTCCTACCAATTTGGATTGCCTCTGTCAGCATGTGCACCTAAAAATGGCCTTCATAACATAGTCTTGGGGACAGTTAATGGTGTGCCTATCAGCCCATATCCACAGAAAAATCATTTATCTTCTTCCAGCCAAGCCTCCCATAAAAGCATACTTTCTTTCTCTGTCTGGTCAGCCCTTTAGTAACTCAGACACACTATGCACAAACATACACATTTTCTTCCCTTTATAACAGGGTTATTTCTTCACAGGGCAATACAAAAGTGGATATGCTTTTCTCTCATTTGCTTCTCCTTTGAACTTCCCTTATTTTGCCTTTCATGACAGGGCATAAATCAGAGATAATTTTATTATATACTGGTCACCATGCATCCCACAAAATTAGAGTAGCTAAACTGCAGGAGATTGAGGGCTCTTTCAGAAATGGTGTGTCCCATTACTAGTCATTTCTGTTCCACACAGCCTGTTTCTGTGCAAACATGAATGTTTTTACTCCCTCCCCCTTAGCATTTAGGTGCATGTTGGACAAAAAATCTCAGTTTTGTCAACCGTAATTCAGAGCTCTTCTTATTGACTGTGGTCATGCTTATCCTTCCTTTTAGTACAGTGGTACCTCTACTTACGAAATTAATTCATTCCGA